ATTGATCCTGACCCAGGTGCAGCACCAGCACCTGGTCTTGTTAAATCACATGGGATTCCCAATGGCAGGGAATATACAGGTGGCACGAGCCAGTTTTGGCCTCCCAGGGCAGTGTTTTACCCCTCCCAGCTCAGGGGTGCAGCTGGGGAACCCTAGAAGGGGTGAGCTCCTGTGTCCTGAGGGTGATCCAGAGCGGGCTGTGTGGGATAACACACACTCACCTCCTCGAGTCGTTGGAGAAGGAGAAGGAATGTACACCAGCAGTGTGGCCCTTCAACTCAAAAGCCCTGGTCACCTCTCGGAATTCTCCATTCTTGCCAAAACACACCTCCCACACCTTCACATCAGGGGTAAAGCCACAGGATGCCACAAACCTGTGTAAAGGAACAAGCAGAGACACAGGGTACCTGTTACAGAGCACCTGAGCAAGGCAGGGCCAGTGCTCTCCAAACCTGTCCTGACTCCTCCACTCAAATCTTTGGTCAGCTGGGAAAGTTTTCACTTGTCTCTGAAACCCTGCTGGTAAAGGGAATGCTAAGGAGGGGCACCAGAACAACTCAGGAATGAGAAATTCTCAGGCCAAAGCAAAAGAGTTCAATGCTTATGATCCCCAAACTCCCTGAGCCTGGAGCAAGGCAAATCATCCTGCAGCGACAGGTTAAAGACAGAGCAGAGAACAAGATTTTCCTGATAAACAGATCTCCCAGAAATAAAGACTTTAGCTTTATAATTAACCTTTAAGAGCTTACAAACAAGTTCAAAATGCTGTTTGCTTTGCATAGGCTGTTTGCTCTGTCCCATCTCTGCTACCTGAGGCCAAAGCTGTTCTCAGGTTACCGGAACAGCAGCGCTGAGGCACAACGGTAACACACCTTGTCTGAGCCCACATCAGCTCCACATCCCAGAGGGCAAAATCCCTTTTTAAAACTGTGGAACCCTCAGAAAACTGCATTACAATAACAACTAACTGCTGATGGTCTGAACTGATGATGTCCTGTGGGAAGGAGTGAGGTTCCCAGCTGCTCCTGCAGCGGGATTAGCCCGGAATCCCTCCTGTCCCTCACCTCCCACAGGGTGACACCGTGGCGTAGGCATTGTTCATCTGGTTGGTGTTAATGCTGGACAGGACTTCTCCCTTCGGGCTCCAGATCAGGATGGTGGTGTCACTGGAAGCTGTCATGATAAACTTTCCTGGGGGAAAAAGGCAAAGATCAGGAGAGGTCTCAGACCTAACACGGCCAGAGACTCATTGAAGCCCCAGCACAACCTCTCCCTGCAGCTGGAGAAAACCAAAAGCAGCACCAAAATCCAAGGAGAGTCAATCAGAAGACTCAGCTCCTGGTTATGCCTTAGTCCTCCTTTAGCTTTTGGGTGGGCAGCGGGCACTGGGCCCACACGTGCCCCTCGCTCAGCACCCTCAGCCCCTGCAGAGCTCAGCACGGGCTGTGCCACAGCAGGAACACAGCACATTCCATCTGCCCTGCATGCCTAAAACCAGCTCGAGGATCAGCCACGGATTGTGGGCAGGCAGCTGACCAGTCACACCAGCACCACCCATGGTTACTGGTTGTGTCCATGTTGGACTCCTGCTTGTTCCCACTTCCCCAGTGCCACCTCAGCCCAGGCAGGGAGTTGCCTGTTTACCTTTCAGCTACTTGTTGCAGGTTTAAGTTTTCACTTTCACAGCTGAACAAAGGTCTCAGTTAACATTTTCCCTGCTCTCCTGTTACAGAGGTGAATTCACATTCATCTGCTGTCACGTACCTGAAGCATCAATCCATCAAGCCCTCACCACTAACACAGAATTCCCACCCACCCACCCTCACCTCTGTTCTAGGTGATCCCAGAAGTTAAAGACAGATCATAAGAACTCACTAGAGAGATTTCTGACTGGTTAAAGAGAGACTGGTGGGCCAGAGAACAGCGATCCTCTCAATATTGAGACCAGACCTCTTTGCAACAGCATCCCTGAAAATGTAAATTAAGAGACTGTGCATATCGGGGAGCTGGTTACAGGGACAGAATGGGTCTGAAAATGACACCTTTTAGTTCACTCAGGAGTAAATTAAATAAAAAAAAACCCTAAGAGACTACAGAGAGTTAAGTACTGGGGCTGAGCACAGCCTTCAGAATGCCAAGAACTCCAACACTTTGAACCCAGCAGCTTCACAAGGAAATCAAAGCCAACCTGGACAGCTGAGCAGCTCATTTCCATACCTGTCTCTGCAATCCCTATGTTAATGACGGGAGCTTTGTGCTTCTTTGGGAAGTCCCCAGAACTTGCGGTGAAGGTGAAGCTCCCATCGTCCTTCTTGGTCATCTTGTAGACACGAATAGTCTCGGCATTTGCCAGCCAGACAATGAAAGCCCTGTGAAGGGACAGGTCCTGATCCCCAGCTCAGCCCAGGTCACTCAGGGCCACCTGGGGAGAGGGATACACTGGCAGGTAAAAAGCTTTATGAGGGCACCAAGTTCTCTCCCTGTGTTGGCCCCACTGCAACACTGAATGGAAAAGAACAGAATTTATTACACCTGGAAATGAGATGCTTTCCTCTTTCTAAAAGAAGCCACTTCACAAGGAGGCAAGACATGCTTTCCCACCAACTTTCCCACCCAGCAAGAGCTCCTGAGCTCACTGGAGAGGCTCAGCAGCACATCCCAGCTGGCAGAGACCTCAATGGCATTTCCATGGTCATGCAGGGCACTGGGATATTTGCCCCAACAACCACATTAACCCATCAGGGGTTGTACTGCATGATCTCCAGAGATCCCTCACAACCCTGACTGTTGTGGTTTTGTGATTCCGTGCCAGCTGCCTTCAGGAAAGGCCACGGATCAGTGGTTACAGTGATGACCCAGTGATGGACGCCGCCTCCACGCATCCCAGGGCACATACCACTGATGCCAGCGAGGCCTGGCTGTGGGATCGGTGCCTCCGCAGGACACCCCTGTGCCAGCACGAGGCCCGTCCGTACCGTGAGTCGGGGCTGAGGCGGACGAGCTCGGCGTGGTCCAGCCCCACGTTGGCGCGCAGGCAGCGGTGCTCCCGCCCCGCCAGGTCCCGGGTGCTCCACAGCCGCACCGTGCGGTCCTCGGAGCACGACGCCAGGTACTTCCCGTTGCTGCTGAAGTCCAGGCAGGTCACCGGGCTGCTGTGGCCCTGCGGAGAGAGCACGGTCACGGCGGGAGGAGGTGGGACACTGGCACCAGCAGGATACCGGCACCGGCGGGGCAGCGGCACGGGGAAGGACACCGGCACCGGGCACACGGCACTGGTGGGACACTGGCAGGACACCACGGGGACACTGGCACCGGGAAGAACACGTAGTACCGGCAGGGCACTGCATCCGCGGGACACCCGCACCGAGCACACACAGTACTGCCCGGACACGGTACTGGCGGGGCACTGGCGAGACACCAGTGGGATACTGGCACCAGGGGGACACCGGCACCGGGAGGGACAGCGGAACCGGGCACACACAGTACCGGCGGGACACTGCCAGGACACCAAGGGGACACCGGCGGGCACACACGGCACCGGGGGGGACACCAGCGGGACAGCGGCCCGGGGACACGCGGTACCTTGAGGGTGGCGACCAGCAGCCGGTGTGTGAAGCTGTGCTGCTGCTGCTGCTTCTCCCTGCGAGGCCTCGCCTTCGCCTTCCGCGGCTCCTCCGGCCTGGCGTGCCCGTTGGCCCTGGGCCCTGCGGGAGCGGAGGGGCCGGGTCAGCTCCGCTCCGCGCCGCCCGGCGCCCCGCTGTCCGCCCCGGTACTCACCGTCCGGCGGGGCGGCGGGGGCTGCCGGAGGGGCGGCGCGGCGCAGCGCGGCCGCCAGCAGCAGGACGAGGACGGTGATGAGGAGGAGGATGAGGAGGGCGCCCGGCAGCCCCGGCCCGCCCGGCGCCGCCGCCCCCTCCATGTTCCCGCCGCCGGTGCCGCGTCAGCCACCGGCACCAGGGGGAGGACCCGCGCGTGCGCATGCGCGGCCCCCGCGGGGCGGCCCCTGGCGGGCGGGGGCGGTACTGCAGCCCCGGCCCCCCGGTGTCACCCCACGATGTGACCCCACGATGTGACCCCAGGCTGTCACCCCCCCGTGTCACCCCCCGGTGTCACCCCACGATGTGACCCCAGGCTGTCACCCCCCGGTGTCACCCCACGATGTGACCCCAGGCTGTCACCCCCCGGTGTCACCCAACGATGTGACCCCAGGCTATCACCCCCCCCGTGTCACCCCACGATGTGACCCTACGACGTGACCCCAGGCTGTCACCCCCCCCGTGTCACCCAACGATGTGACCCTACAATGTGACCCCAGGCTGTCACCCCCCGGTGTCACCCAGCGATGTGACCCCAGGCTGTCAACCCCCGATGTCACCCTCCCGCTGTCACCCCAATGCTGTCACCCCCTACACTGCCCCGGCCCCCACGCTGTCACCTCCTCGCTGTCACCCTAGCGCTGTCACCCCAACCCTGTCACCCTAGCGCTGTCACCCTCAACGCTGTCACCCCCTACCCTGCCCCGGCCCCGACGTTGTCACCCCCAACGCTGTCAGCCCCAGCGCTATCACCCCCTACCCAGCCCCGGCCACCCCCAGACCTCCCGGCTGTCACCCCATTCCCTACCCCAGCCCCCCGACAACGGCCCCCCCACTTCTCCAGTCTCTGCCTGCACACTCCCTCCTCCAGCCCCATCAACCCCCCAGGCCCTGCCCGCACCCCCTCCCTAGCCCCTCCTTCCTCCAGCTCCTGCCCCCAACAGCCCCTGCACCCCCCAGCACTTGCCGGCACTCCCCCAGCCCCGCCACCCCCCGCCCCTAATCTGACCCCACGTCTCACTTCCCCGCCTCTGCCTCGGTTCCCCTCATCTCCCCCCAGCCCCGTCCCCGCTCCCAGCCCCGACTGTCCCCACCCCGGTCTCACCCCCCTCCATTCCCGGTCCCACCCCACCCCTCCCAGCCGTGCCCTAGAACAGCCCCGGGGCTGAAGAACCAGGCAGGGTCCATGGCACAGCGAGTCCTTTATCGGGGGGGAAGATGGGGACAGCCCCCTCGCAGCCCCGGCTGGGACCCCCGGAGCCCCCGGGCCGCCCTCCTGGGGCAGTCAGGAGGAGGAGGAGGAGGCGCCGCGTCCCAGCGCCGCCACCGCCCGCGCCGCCTGCTCGGGGACACGGGCAGGGTCGCTGAGGATGGAAGTGGAGACGCTCAGCTGCCGCAGGGAGCTCAGGACGGCTGCGGGGACAAGGGACAAGTGGGACAGGTCACTGCCCGACGCCCCTCGGGGGCTGCGAGGGGTGACCCACCCTGCGGGAGACGGCGCTGCCCATCCCTGCTCCAGCTGCTGGAACAGCGGGACCACTCCCTGCCACAGCTCCCAGCAGATGGGGCGAAGGGAAACCCACCCTGTGGGGCTCTGGGGACGGCTGAATCTGCCCTGCCAGGACACCGGATTAGGGCACAGAAAGCTCATCTGGGAGGTGGGCGTGACAGGAGCACAGGAAAGCATCGAGCACAAGCCCCGGGACATCCCAGGGATCAGCCTCTCCATCCCTCAGGACACCGCTGTCTTTTTCCCCTCAGCCTTTCCCTTAGTCTGTGCCCACCCAACTCGCTCGGGGTGCCACAGCCGGGCAAAGGGCCACCTACTTGGCCGAAGTGCTGGGAGGGAACAGTGCTGGTCCAGCCAGGCCAGGGATGTCTGGGTGAGACTCTCCATGCTTGCCGTGGACACCATCCCATTGAAGGACTCAAAGAGGGGCCGCATGATGATACTGAACTGGCGGGAGCAGAGGAGTTAAGGACCAGCCTTGCCACAGCCATGGTCTCCCACCTGTCAGGAGTGGGCATCACCCTCCCTCGGCAGCAGGACAGATCTTGCCCAGCTCTGGAGCAGAACTGCTGGAGCAGCAGGACAGACCATGGATCAGACCTGCTGGGTGCCTTCCCAGCTCAGCACCGCACTGGGCACCAGCCTGAACTGCTGGGGTGATGAGGACCTGAGTGTCACCTGGGGCAGTGGGAGAGCTGTGTAACCCCCACCATGTCTGCTAGCAAAGTGCCCAGGAGCAGGGCAGGACACCAGTGTGGCCAGTGTGCTCCCCCAGCCTGCAAGGACCAGGGATTTTGATCTGGGGACCAAAATCTGGGACAGGTGATTTTGTGCATGCAGTAATCCACACAGATACCTTTGCCGCGAGCGTGTCCTGGAGCCCATGTTGGCTTTAGGATACTCAGTGTCCTGAGGAAGGAGCTCCCCAGCTCTGTCAGCAGCCACCTCTGCCTTGCCCAGATGTCCCGCACTGGGTGGGACCGTGGGCAGCAGTGCCTGCCCAACCCTTCTGCCACTTGGGATTTCACAGACCTCACAGTCTCTGCAGGTTTAATGGTCCCAGTATGTCTAATCCCTGCTCACAGAGGAGCAGATCCAGCCCTCTGCCTACAGGTTTCCTTGCCCTTGGTCCTCTCCATCCCTGGATTTCCAAAGTGTGCCATGCAACCACCAGGACCAAGCCATCATGTCCCCAGCTTTGTGTCTGGACCTCTCCTAATCCCTGCAGCTGATGGCTGCTGCCTCTCAGAGCCAGTTCCCATCTCACCAGGAGCAATTGCCTGCATGAGCTCAGTTCCACTTTCCATTTCCCTGAAGACCAACCATTTATTCCTACTATTTTTGCTCCCTTGTAACAGAAGATTCCTCCTAACCACAACACCTCGCCATGTTCCCACCATGCGCCCTCGTCTGGGGAGCATCTCCCTGGGTCCCTCCCTACAGGTCCCTCTACAGGGCCTGTAGAGCCGGAGGGACCCCACAGACCCGGCAGCAGCGGGTGAACCAGAGCACCTGGTGTTTGGTGCAGGGGTCAGAGGGAGCAGCAGGCGCTGGCCCCAAAGGATACGATCCAGAACTTCCAGTTCTGCAGTGTGGAGGAGCGGACGTACTCGTCGAACATGCCGCGCATGTGGTCGAAGCGCTGGCGCGTGATGGGCACCCCCGTGGCCGGCAGCTGCTCCTGGCACAGGCTGCGGGGCACAAGCAGCGCCGTGGGGCCGTGTTTGGGAGGCTGGGAGCCACAGGGGCCCAGCAGGAGCTCAGAGGCTCCAGCAGGACCTCAGCTCTCAGCAGGGGTTGGCAGGCAGTGTCCCTCTGCCAGGGTGGCTGTGGGGCCTGGCCCCACAGTCTGGTCCCAAGCAGTAACTGCCTTTGAGCATCAGCCCTCTCCCAGCCAGGGTTTTAGGAGGGACAGGCACTCCAGGGAGACCTACCATGTCTTGCTGCCACTCCAGCACTGCCACTTGCCCTACCTGGACACCCCGAAGCAGGCAGTGCCCCCCAGCCATGTCCCCCCTTACTTGATGGAGCTGTTGAGCTCCTCAATCTGCTCCCGCAGCCGCTGTGCCTCATCCTGCAGAGCCGCCCGCTCCTGCTGCAGCTTGCAGATGTACTCAGCTGTCTTCTGCAGGGTGGTGGCCTTGCTGACCTGGGAAACCAAGGGGTGAGAGGGGTATGGGGCCCAGACCACCCTGGCACAGTCTCCAGAGCCCAGACCGCCCTGGCACGGCCACACAGTGCAGGTCTCCATGTGCCTACAGGGGCAGAAGCTCCGTGCTCTGGGGCAGAGCAGGGATGCAGCATCCCTCAGGTGTCCCTGCATGCCCAGGGATGGCCCTGGGTGCTCACCTTGATGCTGGGCTGGGTGCTCAGCGTGCTCACCAGGCTGTGCAGCGTGGTGAAGCCCAGCTTGATGTTGAAGCGCCTCTTCTGCTCGGCGGAGATGTGCGTGATGCGGCGGCTCTCCAGCTGCGGGGCAGCGCCGTCAGGCACCTCCCGGCAGCGGGGACAGCCACGGGCCACCAGCCCCAGCGGGGACAGGCTGGCCCAAAGCTTGCAGTGAGGGTGGATGGAGTTTTGGGGCTCCTGCAGTACCTTGTTGGACTCAGGCCTGCCCCGACGGGACACGGGGTGGTGCACAGAGGTGCCAGTGCCCAGCCCTGCAGTGGGTCCTGGAGAAGCCTGGCTGGGCTTGCGCCAGTTGCTGTCTGGAAAAAGGAAAATGCTGGTTTGGGGAGAGGGCAACAGCAACCCCTTGTGACAGGGTGACACCTGTCACACACTGGGACAGGCACGGAGGAGCACCCACAGTACTGCCCCTGCCCTGGGGCACCCACCCCTCTGACTGGGATGCTCTACTCCAGCCTCTAACCACACATTACCCCAAATCCCACTCATTTACAACTGCTCAGAAATGGGAACATCTAGGATGTGACATTTTAAATTCCCGGTGTTTCTTGGGGTGGAAATATCCGGCAAGAGTCCCGAGGGCAGCAAGGTTGTGGTGTGCAGCACCAGAATGAACTGGGAATGACACCAGAGCCTGGTTTCCAGCAGCCGTGCTGGTTTCCGCGGGTGAAAGCAGGCACTTCCTGCTCCAAAACCAAGCTCTGGGGTTTCAAAACCACAGTCAGACATTTTGCTGTTTTTGTCTTTTCCTATTTCTGCTTTTGCCCCTGTAGAAGGAGGCAGGTGAAGGGGCTGCGCCTCCCACGCGGGGAGGAACCTTCTGTGCTTGGTTGGGTGAATGGAAATAGCTGGGATTGAAGCCAAAATGAAACATTCCCACAATGTTTGGTCCAAGCTCTCTGCAGGAGCTCTTTGGGGTGCCCCTGGCTTACCACAAGCTGAGGTGGGAGACAGCTGCTCTGCCTTGGGGACTCTCAGGGAGCCCGGTTGCATGCCTGCCAGTGGCACCGGCACCACTGGGGAAGGGCTGGAGCCAGGAGCCAGTCCTGGGCTCAGCTGGGCCATTCTGGAGAGGAAGGTGGCAGGGACTTCGGGAACAGTGCTCTGCTGCTAGGAGAAGGCAGAGGGAAAGGGAGTTGGGGAGTCAGCACCCCACAATTGGCACTGAAAGCCAAACCCCCACAAGGGACAGGGAAGGGCAGCCCCACTGAACCATCTGCAGGGGCAGCCCCAGCCCCAGAGCCCCAGGAAAGGTGTCTCTCCCACCTCTGCCCTGGTTCTTTTACCGAAGACACTTGGGTGAATCCTGCCACCTCCAGCCACATGTCCACTCCTTCCCCCTCGTGCCTGTCCAGCCCACAGCAAAGTGTGACCCCCTCGGAGCCCATCTGCCCCCCTGCCCCTTCTCCCCCCCTGCCCCAGCAGCCAAGAGAGGGCAATTCCCAGCCTGGAGGGGGCAATTCCCAATGTGTGTGTGGGGAAATTCCCAAGCTGGGGGATAGGTGAGTGCTTACCGGGGAGACAGGGGCCATGGGCATGAGTCCTGCACCCATCGGGCGAGGGGCGTCCAGGGCTGGGTCCTGCTTGGCTGACAGGGCAGGGAGCAGATGGGCTCTTCTGCGTGGGGCTGTCAGGGCTGGGGTGACCTTCCCCGCCCCCGGGGGACAGCCAGCCCCCCACACCAGCACTGCTGCAGCCCCTTCCCTGCCAGGCTGCCCTGAGAAGGGGGATGCACCCCTGGAGAGAGGTGCCAGTACTCTCTTGGCAGTGGGGATGTTCTTGGGAGCCTTGTGCAAGCAGGGAGGCCCAGCCCCTCCCCAGCCAAGTACAGGGACAGGGACATAGCGTGAAGGGACCTGTCCCATCACACCTACAGGCAGCAGGTTGTGCAGGACACCCAGTTATCTGTTGTGTCCATGGAGACCAGCCTGGGGACACAGGGATTTCCCAGCAGTGCCCGTGGCCAAGCCCTGGGGCTGCCTGGGCCTCAGCTCCCTCTGGCTCCTGGAGCTGGGAGGATCTTCACCCCTGTGCTTGTCCCCATGGGGACAGCCATGTGCCCTGCCCAGCATCCCCAGAGCCCCAACACCAGGGAGAAAGCATGGTCCCCTCTCTGATCCCTCCCATACCATCCCCCCCGGCTCACCCCTCTGTCCCCCCACAGTCCCCCCGTCCCCCTTACCTGCGGTCAGCAACTGGCTCAGGCAGGGGTTGGACACAGGCAGGTGGGGCATGGTGGGTCCTGGCAGCCTCCTCGCCTTGGTGCCACCAGGCTTTGCCTTGGGCCGCCCCCCCCCACCCTGGGGCAGCCCCTTGGGGGGGGCAAACCTGGGGTCGCCCAGCAGGGCAGGGGGCAGGAGCTGGGGGGCAGCAGGGCCGGGGTACCCTGGGGGCACCATGCCTGTGGGGTAGCCCAGCCCCGGGGTGTGGGGGGTGAAGCAGGGGGCTGAGAGGGGGGAGGCAGGGTGGGTGAGGAGAGAGGGGCCAGGGGAGCTGGCGTAGGGGAACTTGGAGCGGGGGGCCGAGGCGGGGGAGAAGGGGGAGTCTGGGCTCGGTAGTGGTGCCCCAGGGGACAGGATGGGGGGGATGTAGTGGGGTCCTGGTGGCTCCAGGCTGAGGCACTTGGTGGGGAGGTCGTACTGCAGCGGGAGCTTGTGTCGGAGCTGGGGGCTGAAGCTGCTGGGCACTGCAGAGGGGGGCTCGGGGGGCAGGGGGGCCGGGGGCAGCTCGGGGCCCAGGAAGGCGCTGTGCAGGCTGAGCTGGGAGGCGCTGCTGGGCTGTGGGAGACATCGGAGCATCAGGGAGGGTGGCTGGGATACCGGCAGCCACCGGCTGTGGGCTGGGATTCTGCTCACCTGGAGGAGGGTGCCGGGTGACAGTGGGGCCTCAGGGCTTGCAGGCAGCCCCCTAGAACCCATCAGGGACTCCCCGGCATCAAACAGGGGCTCGGCCATGGGCAAGAAGCAGGATGGCTCCTGGTAGCCCAGTTGTGTCTGTGATGGGGCTGTTCGGTGGCTGAAGAAGAGATCTGCAGGGCCAAGTGGAGACACGGTGACTGGCATGAGGGGACCTGCCCAGAGACGGGGGACAAGCCCTGGGGCACGTAGGGTGGAGCCGTATCCTGTTACTGGCACTGCTGGGGACTTGCCAATCCCCCCTTCACCTTGTGTGGCCAGGGCAGCTCTGGCAGATTTGTCACCCAGGGCCAGCCTTGCCATATGCATGGGAACAGGAAAACCCACCCAAAGTGCCACCCAAGTGCCATCCCTGGTACTCAGTTGGGCTCCACATGCTCCAGCCCCACGGCTGCTTCCAGGGGTGTGTGGGGCTGTATCAGTCCCGGGCTGGGGCAGGGACCACCACACCCGGGATGGGGGCACAGCAGGGGGGTCTGGATGAGCATTCCCAAGCCACAGGGGAATGTGGATGGTCCCCTGGAGTGGTGGTGAGTGCTGTCCTCCCCACCCAGCACTGCCGTGCGTGCAGCCTGTGGGTAACCACATCCCATGGCCTTCCCGAAGCCGAGCCGCGTGACCCTGCCGCGACTCCTGCTCCCTTCCTGTCTCCTTCCCACAACCCTGCTCCTTCCGCAGGCCCAGACGCTGTGGCACGCAGGGCTGGCCCGACACTTTGGGCAGCCACCTTCCCGGGCACATCAGCCCCACGCCCGCCTCGGCTCAGTGCCTGTGCCAGCGCTGGCTCTGGCATCACCACCAGGAGAGGGGGCAGAGGATGACTGTGGGGCTGGGATGGGGCTGCTGGATTCTTCCCTGTAGGAGGGAGCAGGAGGACTCGCTGGATTTCCTGCCTGCCAGCCCCTGGCACAGGCTCTGTGCTTGAGCATCTACCCTGGGACAGGCACTTGCATCTCCTCCGGGGAGCACCCAGCCGTCCTCTCCAGCCCTTGTCTGGCACTGGCAGTGCCACCCCCAGGCCCTGCTGCCAGCTCTGCCTGCCTGGTGTGTGCAACCATGACCAGGGCACCGGCTGTGGTTCAGGCTCCAGCACCCGGGGTGTCCTGACTGGGACCCACAAAGGCCTGAGACCCTGCTGAATCTACACCAGAGGAGCAAATGTGCCAGCACTGTGGGATGCCACGGGACTGGGCATGGTGATGATTCCAGCATGGCATGTGCTGCCATCCGAGGGAAACAGCGGTGTGAGATGGGGCAGAGCCGCTGCTGAGCTGCCCCACACAGCCCCCAGACTTCCCCTTCCCTCTGCCAAGGCCGTGGTGAGTCCCTGGGGGCATGGCAGGACCACCCCTGCCCCTCCACGGACTGGCACTCAGTGAGTGCCGTGATGCTGCCAGGCAGGGTCTCACCCTTCCTGGGATGCAGCCCAGCCCCACGCTGCCTCCACCTGCACTGTGCCCACACTGGGCTGCCTCTGCCACTGGCACCAAAGCTCTGTGGGTATTTATAGGCATTTCTGGTGCCCAGCTTGGCAGATTTGTGCCTCTTGTGCTTCTTGCATGCTACAGGGATGGCAGCCCTTGGGAGCCCTGTCCTCCCTTTCTCCCGCCCCTTCCCCACCCCACAGCTCCTGCCCATGCTCCTCCGCACCATCACATCACCCTGCCCCGCTCCAGGTAGTGCAGCACGGCCAGGGCACGGCGCTGCTCAAGGGAGAATAGCCCATGTGGTCAGCACACCACGCCTTTGGCATCCTGCTCAAACCTGGGGCTGCTCTCTGCTGGGATTGGGGCTGCAGAGCCCCTTCCCAACCTAAGGACCCTCCAGGACTGGCCACAGGCTCTGGGAGAGCCCTGTGGTGCAGTGGGGCAATGCCACCCCGTGGGACGGCCAGCCCAGCCCCCAGTGTCCCCATGCCCAGCGTGGGTCCTACCTGGAGCGCGGTGCCAGCGGGGGACGGGGCTGGGCTGCTCCCTCGCCTCTGCCATCAGGACTTCTCCATCCGCCCTGCACCGCGCTCCGGACCCGCCACGGACACGAGATGCTTCCTCATTTGGGGGCTGGCTTGCAGGCTCTGACTGGCAGGCGCTGAGCTCTGCCAGGGCCACCCGACACGGTGACAGCCCTGTGACCCCGCGGTGCCCACCCCGCACAGCTCTGCGTGAGGGATTCACAGAAAACCATGGCCTGCCCTGCTGAAAAAGTGTCCTCTGGGACATAATTGGGTTGGTGGCACCCAGCACCCACCATTCACCCCCGTCTCCTCTCCCCACTTCCCCGCGGGGGATATGGCACACACACGGCCCTTGGCTGCAACCCCTCATCATCCAGGGAGCTGCCCCACACGGTGTCCCAGGAAATGTCCCATGTCTAGGACAAAACTCCCACACACACGTCTCCAAGCACCTCAGGAAATATCCCATATCTAGGACAAAACTCTCACCCATGAGTCTCCAAGAGTCCCATGGAATGCTGCCCTGCCCTGGGGCACACCAGCCCCTCTCCAGCAGTCCAGGAGCCACAGCTGGGACACTGTCCCTGACCCCAGCAGGACTTTTTGGACCCTCCCCAGCCCCAGCAGTGTCCCTGTTCTGAGCTGCTGGGCACAGGCAGAACTGGAAAGAACGCTTCCCTGTGATTTAGTGGCTTGCAGTAAAACCCTATTATATAGCTTCCAGTATTATATAGCTTGCAGTAAAACCCTATTCCCAGACAGCACCCTGGAGCAAAGTGCAGGCCTTTTCCCAGGAAAAAAGCCAACCTGGCTGAAATATTGGTTCAGCTGAGCACTGCTGTGCTCCTGCCATCTGCTTGAGCATGAGGCCATGCTGGGCCCTCAGAGGGGTGCTGGGGCTGCTGCTGTGACACCACGCAGGACCTCTCGGGGGGAGGGACACTTGTCAAGGGTCAATTTGACCCCGTTGGAGCTGTCCACTGACTAATGTCCATGTGGGGCACCAGGGGACAGGGGGCAAAGAGTCAGCCACGGGACAGACCCTCTTCCCAGTGTGGTCCACCCTGATGGGATCTCTGGAAGGAATGAGCCAAGGAGGTGCTGGCAGGAGCCTTCCCACCTCATCCATCCCCAGGGCATCCCACTGCCTGCCCTGGCACACAGAGTGCCCATCCTGCTCCCTGCCAGCATCTGGTCTTGCATCACCCCTCAGCCGTATGGCGCAAGTGCCCTTGTTTCCTCCTGCCGAAGGAAGTGGAGACGGGCCATGGAGCTCCAGGCTCACATGGGGGTCTGGAGATGCTGCTGCTGCCCGAGGCCACCAGCTACCTGGAGGGCTTGCAGCCACCAACCCCCACAGTGTGCCCAGCTCCAGCACATTCGAGGGCAAAGTTGGTCCCCAGCGGTGCCCTGCCCTGGCGTATGGGGACACTGCTGGGACCAGGACGTGTCCCAGCTGATTCAATGGCACACAGGGACACTCACAGCTCAGAGCCTGCATGGCAGCATGGGGGAGGCTGCTACTGCCCCCTTCCTGGTGTTCCTCCTTGTCATCCCCCTGCCCTAGCTGGACACCAGTGCCAGGTTTGTCTCTGGGCAGCCTGGCAGGGACAGTGGCTTGTCCCCAGGGGATGTAGCACAGACCAGTGCAGGGTCCCGGTCCCTTGGGCTGCTCAGCCTGGGGCTGGCTGGGCAGTGAGGTGAGGAGGGGATGCAGAACCTGCCCTCCAGGGGTTTCCTCTTCCAATTTGGGACAATTGTCCTTCCTCTGTCTGCAGCCAAAATGAGGGGCTTTGGCACGCCTGGAAAGATCCTCTGCTTATAGAAATCCCCTCCCACAGCTCCTGGCCTGAACTTTCCCAACCTTCTGTGGCTCTGTTGGCCGGGCTACAGAGGGAGCTGCTGGGGCAGGCAAGCACACCAACCCCCTGCCTACAGCCCCTGTCCATCCATGCTGCTTTTCCCATGGCACTGGGTGTCTGGTGCTTCTGCCTGCCCCAGCAGCTCCCTCTGTAGCCTGGCCAACCCTCTGACCCCCCATTTTGGGCTGCCACGGGGTGCAGGGCTGTGTGGGATGTGGTACCACATCCAGGCTGGCTCTTACCTGAGATGTCCATATCATCCAGGCTGGGCTGCAGGGGTGCCAAATCCGGCTGTATCATGTCTGCATTCCCAATGTACGCTGGAAGAGGGCAGAGCTGGAACATCAGGGCCCAGCCACTGCACCTCTAAGACCACCCTTCAGGGCTGCTCCCACCACTACCTGCCACCCCTCTGTGTCACCCCAGTCACCCTGTGTCACTGGACCCTTCCCTGGGCAGGGAGGTGGGTGCCCACCCTGTGGAGAGCCAGGGCCATCCCATCCCACCACCCTGCTCCGCCTCCACATCCTGCTGGAGCATGGTCTGGGGCACCTACCGTCCTCGGGGAGTGCCTGGTGAGTGCTGGGCATCTGTGTCATGGTGAAGAGCGTGTCAGATATGTCTGAGAGGAAGGTGTCCAAGTCAAAGTGCTGCCTGCTCCCAGGCTCCTCTTCCTCATCCCCAAGCAGCATTGGCACCACGTTGCAGAAGAGCTGATTGCACCATTTCTCTGTTGGCCTCCAGACACCCTCATCCTGCATGACATGGAGCAAAGGAGCCAGGTGGGCACCTCTCATGGGGAGGGTCCATGCCTGGCTCTGTGGCTGCTCTCCCTGCCATCCCCCATGCTTCCCACAGTGTTATGACTCCAAACCTTCACATCTGGCACTCTGCTGCTTCCAGAAGGGTGAATCCAGCATCCCAAGTGCTTGGTATTCCATCCCATGGGGCTTGCCACACCATGGGGCTTTCCTCTGCCCTTCTCCCAAGCTGCCCAGTGCAGGGGTCTGCATTGTGCCTCCCTTTTCCCCCTCCCCACCCTTTCCTAGCAGACTCACCTGCTTTGGACTGGAGATCTCTCCCTCCCGGGTGGACTTTCGGAGCTGAAGGAGAAGACAATTTGTGTCACCCCCCAGGCAGGGTGGGTATGTTGTGGGGCAGGGTGAGGGTGACAGCTCAGGAGGGGCAGCCAGCAGCCCCCCCCCACTCTGGCAAGAGCCTGTCACATCCCTCCCTGTCAACCACAGCTCCAGGGTGGGCATACTGGTGTTCCACCCCACCATTGGCACTGCCTCAGAGGGGAGCAGCACGGGCAGAGCCACTCACCCGCTTCTTGTAGTAGATCCTCCACTTGTGGTACTCCCTCATCACCACCTCGATGCGGCGCTTCCAGTAGTTCCCCTCCAGCACAACAGCCTGGGGGGGCAGGACAGGGGGTCATGGCTGAGCCCCCCGGCCCCAACACCCCACAGCCAGGGGTGTTTGCCTTGTGCCATGTCAGAAACACCTTTCCCAGCAAACGGGTCCCCAGCTCCCTGCTGTGCCACCCAGACCTGTGAGGGACCTTGCCCTACCTCTGGTTTTCGGTGCTCATCAGCCTCCAATCCCTCCAGAGGGGTGATGAAGCCACACACGGGGTTCTTCCTCCTCTCCACATCTGCACAGGAGAGAGCACAGCTGGCATTATCCATGCCCCATCCATGATTTATCCACACACCTGCACATGGCCGCCCCGGTGCCAGCCCCATCCCCCTGGGCACAGCCTGGCTCCTGGCAGAGGGAGCAGGGTCTGGTCCATACTCACACTGGATGTACCACGCTCTCCAGATTGCGTTGTTGAGACGAATTTTATCCCGGCAAAGCAGCCTCAGCCCCTTGAAATTCTTCCACTTGGGTGACACCAGCTTCCCACTGAAACACCAAGCGAAGGGGAGGCTGAGGGGCACCATCCCACAGTCCTTCCAGTTCAGGGTCTCCCCGGGGGGCTGTGCCTCAAGACAGGCCTAGGGAAACATGCCTAGGGACCATCAGCCTGGTGGCAAGTCAGGAGCAGGCACAGCCAGGTGGCTCTGCTACAGGAGGCTTGGCAGGCACCTCTGGGAGCACCCACAGGAGCATTCCCAACTCCTGTGCACTCCGAGAGCAGCACAGGCCTAATCCCTGAGCTTCACAGACCCACAGGAGGCTTCTCAAACCCCCAGAATTAAAGCACAGCACACAGAGGAATTGACTCCTTGTGGTTTGAACCCCAGCTCTGAGGAGGGATCCCACTGTCCCTGACCAGGCCAGCTGTGTCCCAGCCCTGGGGGACAGGAAGGGAAGTCTCCCGCCCAGGCGAGACGCCCGGGGACATGTGCTGTGATGCCTCTTGCCTCATCCCAGCATTTGGGCAGCTATTTCTGACCCTCCTTTTCATGCCAGGAAAGACTTGGAAATGCTGCTTTCAGCTGGGGCAGGCAGTGGTAGCCATCCTGGGGGATCTGGGAAGGCAGAACAGCACTGGAGGATGTTCAGGACATTAAGAGACACTTGTCTGTGCCCGAAGACAGACAGAGCAAGACCAGTCCTGCCTTCAGCCAGAGCTGCCCTGACCTCTTCTCCATACCCATCCCTGCAAACTTGTACCCCCCAGCCCTAACTGGGCTCCTTGCTTCTGATTTCCCAGCTCCCAGAGGCAGCTGTGTTTGTTCTACAGCTCATTGTGGTGGTGGTGATGTCCCTGATGGGACCTGCATTGGGGGAAGCCTCATTTCTCTCATTGTCTTGTTTCCATCCAGCCAAGGGACACAACCGCTCGTGTGCCCCCACTGGGGAGGTCCTGGTGGTCCTGCTGCCCCAGGGGGCCCTCTGCCTCACTTTGGGGTCCATTTCACCTCTCCCAGCTCTCCCACCCATCAGGGCATGGCCCCAGGGCAATGCCAGCTGCTCCAGGGGTCCCTCTGAGAGGTGGTGCAGCCTGCATGGCATCCCTCCCCAACCAATAGTTTGTCCCCTAAAGATCTCAGTGCTGCTCTGAGTCCCACTTTTCCTTGGCTCATGCAGGGAGCAGGAAAGGTGGAGGCTGGGGTGCTGTATCCCCTGTTCCCAGCCTCTCCTTGGGTGCATCCAGGTGCCTCCGGGCTGTGTCCCCAGGGAGGTGCTGGGGATGAGAATGGTGTAAGAAGCCTCTGACTTGTTCATTCAAGCTTGTGAAACCTCCAGAAATTCTCTAACTATGATTTTGGTGGGTTCTTACCTTGAAATCTGCTTTGACTTGCCTTGAAATCTGCCTCCTGAGAGGAGGAGGACCGGGGACCCCTCCACCTCCAGAGCCTGATGCAGGGATGTGTCTGGGAGTGGGTGCTTCCACCCACAGGGGTGGATGGGGACAGTTTCCCAAGGGACATACAGCCCAACCCACAGCCCCAGGGGCTGGGAAAAGGACCTGAGGCCCCGTGGCTCCAGCCTGCAGAGAGTTAAGGACTCGACTATCACCAGGATTTTGAACTTTCCCCAGTGTCACCCCAGGCAAACAGCGCGGTGCTGCCAAGCGGGGGAGCCAATGGAAAGGACGGTTTTCCCAGGCACCAGGCCAAATCCTGCTGGTCAAGGCCACGCTCCTCACTCACAGACAGCTGAAAGGAGCAGCCCAATCCCTTGGCGTGCAGTCAGACACCTTGGTCACGCGTAGGGCCTGTGGGGCCGTGGCCACGGAGCTGCTGTGGGGTCTGGAGGCAGTGGCGTGATGCCTTTGGGCTTTGCCTCCAACTGCCTTTTTCTCTCCTTAATGATCCTTTTATTTTTGGGGCTTATCAGTCTGATCTTTGCTCCCTGCTTTGCCTTGAATACGGCCCTACCCTTTCCTGAAATTATCCTCCCAGGGAGATGGATGCAAACCCCACATTGAACCGTGGGAACGGTTTAGGGTGCCCTAAACAGGTTGAGGGGCTTGTTGCCCCACAGTCAGAGGGACTGGGAAACAGTGGGCTACAGGGTATTTGTTAGGATGGGGTGAGGTGGGAGCAGGGCTCAGCCTGGGTCCAACCCCAATGTGGGTCCACAGCACCTTGTTTGCTCCGTGGCTTATTTACCCATCCAGCACTTTCAGGTGTTGGAGTCCCTGATTCTGTGGCAAAATTGGTTCTTTTCCCCCCATCAGCAGCAAGAGGAGCAGGGAGGAGTGATCTGGAGAGATGCAGGGGCTGCGCAAAGAGAAATGAGTGGCAGCAGGAGGGGAACAGCTGAGCTGAGGGTCCTCTGGCAGGGACAAGCCTGCTCATCCCTTCCAAGAAGCAGGATCCCTATGGGGCTATCAGAGCCCCCCTCACTCCCTGAGCTGTGGGACATGGCTGTGGTTCCTGGGGCTGGCAGGAAGGAGGAGAGTGTTCCCTGCACGTCCTGAACACTCATCTTCCATTTCTCACAAATTTTACTACCACAGTCACGTATTTTCTTGAGTTTTTATGTTTTAAAATCCAGAGTCTGGCAAAGAAAGTTAAAAATCCAACCACGGTTTCGCTGGAATGTGCCTCCTAAGTGAAAAATGGCTGTGTTCAAATCCACCTTCAAACTCCACTACCTAAACAAGCTGTTTTCTTCAGTGTGGATGAAACAACTGCTGTGCCAGCTGTGCTGGGACTGAACTCAGCCCAGGGGTGATTCGGGGATAGTGTCAAACAAAGGTGTTGATAGACTGTGCTGGGATGATGTAGGGACCTGCTCTGTGTGTACTCCAAGTAGAGATGGAACAGACATTTTCCTGTCCCAGATGAGAAGTGAAGGCATTGAAAAACTCTTGAAAAAAGTCACCTGAGAGCTGGAGAGTTACAAGCCAAGCTACACCTCCACAGCCAGTTATTTCGGTGGTCTCTGGAGGTATGACTCCCCAGTGCATCAGTGTGGGTACACCAGCACACCAACCCGGCCCCTCTGCACAATCCTTGGACAGGATCAGCCCCAAAACTCCAGGGAATGGCAGAGAAAAGGCTCACAGCTCCCTGACACTAATGACAGCACAAGCACAGCGCAGTGTGGGTGGGTTTAGCCCAAGCAGGAGAGACTTTCCCCCTCATCAGACCCCCTGGAAGGGGGGTCTTCTGCCAGAAGGAAATGAGGAGAGGGAAGCTCAGCTTGTGCATCCCTCAGGTCTCTGCCTGGTGCTCGCTGCCCCTGTGGGAGTGTTTAAGGCACTGTGAACTAGAAAATCAATTAGAGTGTGTTGAAGCTATTGCAGCAATTCCACCTCTTCCAGGGGAGACACGGAACCTGCCAGGAGGATGAATTAGTAGGGAATTGGCACACAAGCTGCCTTGTTTCAAATCACAAGAGGGGCAGAGTGGATGCTCCAGGTCAATTCCCAGTCTAACGTCCCTACCTGCCAAATCTCTCCCTTGTTACTTGCAGGGAGGAGGTTCATCCACATCACACTCTGGGAACAGCTACGGGAAGATACTTCTGGAACTTGAGGCAGATGTGTACCAGGTAAGACCATGAGAGGCTGCAGTTTGCAGCTCCCAGTCTGCTCCCAGTTTTTCTCCCTTCAGGAGGATGTTCCCCAGGTCAGTGACTCCCAGGAATGGGTCATGGGAAGGGTTGTGAGCCCAGCTGGTTCAGCTCCACACTCAGCCTTTTGGGGAAGGAGGGGCAGCCAGGTGGGCTGCAGGGAGAAACATCACCCATGGGAGAAACAACAGTCTAAGGAAGGGATTCCAGAAATTGAGGCTGTTGCAGGAGAAGGAGTGGGAGAGAATCATTAAGCCTTTGGCAGAAGAGCTACTCTAAGTGTCCTGGAATATAAGTAAAAAGGAACTCAGCCTCCAGCACCACAAGGAAGACTCTGGAGCAGAGATTGCCTCTCTTTGAGGGATCTGAGGGAACAACTTACTGCTGGAAGCAAACCTTGATGTGGAGAGAGCGTTTCTTTCCAAGCCAGGGGTGATGCACAGTCCGCCCAGGAGGGGAAAATAAGTCAGATCCCTGGGGTGACTGCTCAGGCTGAGACAGGACTGCTGTAATGTCTGTGAAATGTCCAGGAGAAATGCTGGAGAGGGGAGGAATTCCAGCTATAGCCATTGAAAAATGTTCAGGGAAAGTTCAAAGACCTTTGAAACTGTGCCAGACAGCAAGGGATGTGTGGCTGCAGCAGTCACAGCTCACCAGGAGGTGGGATAGTTCCCCTCTGCTCCACACTGTGATGGCCAAGGCTGGCTACTGTGCCCAGACTGGTCTCCTGGTCCAAGAGGGAGGTTCACAAACCGGAGCAATCCCAGAGGAAGGTGTTCAGATGGTTGGGGATTAAGGCACATGACAGAAAAGGAGGGAGAGGGATGGGTTTGTTTATCTTGAAGAAGGTGAAGAGAGAATCTACTTACTGCCATCAGCTACACCAGTTGGAACAGGGAAACTCCAACTAAAGCCATGGACAGCACTCCTCCCTGTGAGAGCGGGGCAGCCCTGGGGAGGCTGGAACATGGTGAGCTCACATCCATCAGTGATGGCCCTGAGCAACCTGACCTGGCTTTGGACCCAGCCCTGCCCTCCAAAGGAGCTGGATGATGAATTCCAAAGCTGACACCTTCCTGTGGTTCCTCCTTGGTTAGGGAGTTAGTCTGCAATAAACTGTGGCTGCTCTCCTGAGGACTGGGGGACCTTGGGCTGGTGACTCCAGCTGAGGCCATGCTGCACCAACCCCCCGTCTGGGGAACCTGGCTGGCATGGAAGGTGTAAAATGGCAGGTGATGCAGAGAAGTTACAGATTAGATGAGACTAAATGTAGAGGTGCACCAAGTACCTTTAAACTGCATTTTCCCACTCTGATACCTTCCTCCAGCTGCTGCCTACAAGAGTGTCAAAATGTATTAGCAAGGGAAAGGCTGGGACAGCTGGGGGTGTCCATCCTGGAGAAGAGAAGGCTCCAGGGAGGCCTCAGAGCCCCTTCCAGTGCATAAAGGGGTTTCCAGAGAGCCGGAGAGGGACTCTGGGCACAGGCCTGGAGTGACAGGACAAGGGGAATGGCATCCTACTGCCAGAGGGCAGGGTTAGATGGGATATTGGGAAGAAATTTTTCCCTGGGAGGGTGGTGAGGCACTGGCACAGGTTGCCCAGAGAAGCTATGGCTGCCCCATCCCTGGAAGTGTTCCAGGCCAGGTTGGACAGGGCTTGGATGAGGGTCCCACTGCAGTGGAGCCGGTGTGGGCATTGCCATGCCCACTGCAGGAAGGAAATGAAGTACTGACAGAGCCCAAGGGGTTGGGAGACCTGGAGCAATAGAGCCCTGACTGCAGTGGAATGGCAGAGCTGTGCCCTGCCAGCTGCCAGCAAACCAGGCACCTGGGACATGGTGACAGGCCAGGTATGTGGGAACTGGTACCCTTGGAGTGCTGTCCCTGTGCTCAGCATCCCCAAGGATGCCCTGGCAGTGACCACATATTCCATCACATGGAGCACTCAAGGTCTTAAAGGCAAACCTGAGACCTCAGGCCCTGGATGAGACCCTAAATGAGCCACTGAATGAGGGGGAAGGCAATGGGCACCTCTTCAAGGCTGCTTTGCTGAGCTTCTGCTTTCATGCAGCATCAGCAGCACATTGTTATTCCAGGTTTCCACCTGGGATATTGCAATTCCAGGTTTCTTTCTTTTGGGAAGGCTATGCAGATTTGCACTGACCTGAGGAAGTCCCTCCAATGCCATGCTGGAGAGAAGTCAAAACCTGGAGGCTCAGCAAAGGAGGGATCTGCCTTCAAGAATGTGGACCAAGGCACCAAGAGACACGTTGCAGTCTGTCCTGTTGTCACCAAGGAGCTGTCACCAGGGCTTGGGTGATTTGTGTGGCAGGGGAATGATCCAGTCACCCATCAGATTTAGCAGGAGAGAAGGAGGGAAGCTTTCGGGAGACCCTGGACAAAAGCCTGTGCAGCCATCCAGCCCTTAGTGCTGCTGCTGCTTGTCATGGAATAACCTCAGGACATGTGGACAGAGTCAAGGACAGAAGGCAGGACTCCTGCTCTGGGCTGGATTGCCAAAGGCTGAGTGCTGGCTGCCCACAGGGTCACTGCTGCTCTGTGGGGTGCACAGGGTCTGGCCATGAGGGTGCTACAGCTGAGCACAGCGACGCTGGATCTCATGGGAAGGTGGAGCAGAGCCAAGCTACATGTCAAAAGAGGAGGAAGTTCTCACCTGTCTCCATGGCCAACAACCCAGCACCAGCCCTTTCTCCCCAGAACCTCCCAGGATGGTGTTTTCTGAGCATATGGCACACACAGCCCGTGGAGCAGAGTGGGACGATGTCTGCTGGCAACAGGGCCCTGGTTGGGCAGCAGGGCTCAGCCCCTCATGTCTTCAGAGAGCTGGGGTCCCATGAGACACATGCCAGTGTGAGGGCTCTGGGACTCACCTGTACTCCAGGCTCATGCACTCGAAGAGCCGGGTGAGGGTCGGGTCGATGCTCCGGGGATCAGCCGGCTCGGGCTTGGTGCGGTGGTGCCGCCGCCGGGGCAGCGCGTCGCTGTGCGGGGACGACACCATGAAGTGGCCGCTGTGGATGACCTGGGAGGGGTTCTGTGCCCCAGCACCGGGTCCTGTGCCACCCACAGCCGCGTCCTCGAAGTCGGAGTCGGAATCAGAGACAGGGCACGGCCCAACCGGGGGCTCTGGGAAGGTTCCCAGGAGCCCCACCTGAGCTCCTGCCATCGCCTGGCGCCTGCTGGGGAGCCCTATGGACCTGTCCCAGCGCTGTGATCCATGTCCCGGGTGTGCCAGAGCCTATGGACACTGCATTGGCATCAAGCACGTGCCATTGGGCTCCCCAGCACAGGACACCCTCACCACAGCTCCTCCTGGGCGCCTCCTCCACCCGGCCCACACTGCCTGCTCCACGCGCCGGGGTTCAGCAGGTGCTTTGCCGGGGTTCAGCGGTTGGTTTGCCGGGGTTCAGCGGTTGGTTTGCCAGGGTGGATCGTCACCAGCCCTACTTATAGTGCTGGTGGCTGATCCCGCCCATGGCACACCGTCAGCAGGCCATGGCACTCTGCCACCGGCGCTTCAGCTCCGCGCCACCGTCCAGCTCCAGCAGTGTCCCTGATGACCCCACCTTTTCTGTCTCCCCTCCAGGTGGGGAGGAGCAGCTGCGGGTCCCCCGTGCCCCGAGGGTTGGCTGGCAGGCAGCTCTGTTTACCCGAGGTTAATCACTGATCCCAGGGGCTGGCTGGGAGAGGATCGGGCGGTATTTACCCAGCACCTCTTCCCTAATGGATCTCCCTGCACTTTTCAAAGGGAACAAATACAGATTAAGGGACACAAACAGGTAAAATTATAGCAACGGGCACCCAGCTCAGCACAAAGCACACAGAGGCACTGAGCCATGTGCTGAGCTGAGAAAGAGCCCAGGGAAACCTGCTCCGAGGGGGAACCCAGCAGGAGAGGGGATGCAAATGCCCAGTGTAAGAGGGGACAGCAATGAGCCCGGATGTGGTGGGATTTATACAGTTCGTGGTCATGCAGTTCTTAAAATCACAGAATCAACAAATCCTAGAATGGTTTGGGTGGGAAGGAACCTTAAAACTCAGCTCATTCCAATCCTCCTGCCATGAGCAGGGACACCTTTCACTAGCCCAGGTTGCTCCAAGCCCTGTCCAACCTGGCCTTGGACACTTGCAGGGATGGGGCAGCCACAACTTCCATGGGCAACCTGTGCCAGGGCCTCACCACCCTCCCAGGGAACAATTTCTTCCTAATATCCAATCTAAATCTGCCCTGGACTGCCTTCACCTCTGAGGTGTCCTGAGAGATGCAGACAGATGTGCCAGCCCCCTCCCCTGCTCTGTGCCAGCTGATCTTGGATAAATGCTGAGATCCCTTGCCAGGGTCTGGCATGTGCTGTGTCACAAGCATCTCCTCTCTGACCCAAGCCACAGAGGGACACAGTGGATATCATTTCAGTCTTAAGTCACTTATTTTCTCTCTAGTTTTTGACAACTTCTTCTCCAACCCCACAACCTGGCAGGAACACACATGCCAGGATAAAGAGGTGGAATAAAGCTGACAGAGATGGCCACAGGCATCAGAACCCTAATCCAGCCTGCAGATGCATTTGGACAACCTCTGTACCACCCAGGTGGCCCCTGCTGATGCTCCAGAGGGATGAGCAGCCACTCAGGGTATTTTCCAGGGTTGGAAGAAGAATATGCACAGAGCTGGTTTGGATAAATTCCACAATGATCACTGTAAACCTCTCTTAGGAACCATTCCTGGATTTTCCAGCCAGATTTCCACGACTCCATAGCCCTTTTCCCCCTCTGTGGTTCATTACAACCCCTTCAGCCTGTAAAGATGCTGGAGAAAGAAATAATTTTAAAAGTACTGCCTGCAGACATTTTAAAGCAGTAATGGGCATGTGGGTGTCCTGAGAAACTAAAATTTAGGCAAGGCACAAGGAAACAAAGACGTCAGAGATATGCAGGGTTTCTGGGCACGTTCCTCTTGAGCTGTGCAAAAAGGACTTCTCAGGATTTTGACAAATACCATTTGCCATCTGTTCACTGGCCACAGGCAGACTTCAGTCCTCTGGGACAACATCTGTCTGAGGGAAACAGAGAAATACATCAGCGAGGCTTTTAGGGACATCACAACTCCCTCATCCCCAGTCCAGCAGCTCTCGTGCTACAGAGGAGGGAAATCCCGTAGGCAAAAGGCATCCAGACAAAGGAAAGGGGTGATGGGTCCTCAGGCCACCATTGACCATGGCAGGGATCCTACACAGGAACAGGCAGTGCTGATGGATCCTAAAATGTGTGATGGCAAGCAGCCCCCGAGGTGGGGGACACACAGGCACAGGGGGACACGGGGAACCCACGCCGGGCACGGGGCCCTCCTGTCCCCACTCCCGCAGAGCCGCGCCCTGTCCCAGCGGAGGAAGGACATGAGCCCACAGCTCTGTCTCGGCTGGGCCGGGGAAAGGGCTCTGGGGTTGCCTTGGGAACGAGCCAAGGTGGCCCAACCCAGGTTTTGGGCTCTGTGGCCGCCTAAAGTAACAAGACAGGGCAGCTCAATCAAGTTGTGAAGCTTTCCTCATGAATATGTATAGCCCTGGCCAGTTCATCTACCATCTTCAGCCATGGCTGGCATTTATTTGGAGCTCTCCCCCTGCAGCTGGCACTGTAGTCCAGCTCTGTGATAAAGTACTGCCTGCTTCCTAATGCTCTAGTGCTGTTAAGGAGCTTTATTCCTGAATTTCCATGACAGCTACACCTCCACTGTCCTCTATCCTGGAGCAAGGCCATGACTAGGGCCGGTGCAGGGCCCTTCCCTGCCCAGAGCTGGCTGTACACGAGCACACAACAACCCCACGCTGTTCCCTGCACGCTGCATGTCAGTCTAAACAGTGCAGCTTTTTCTTAATTTTCCTGAAATTCAACTGGAATAGGTTTTCATGTTTGGAACAGATTGCTGAGTCATCTCCCCCTTTTTTTCCTGGCCCCGCTCATTAGGTATATTCCCTGTCAAACACCGGAGGAAAAATAGTAACAAACATAAATGTGCTGTTTGGATTTTATCTGTGGTTTTGTTGGGGTTCCTGTGTCCTGCCCGGGCCAACTCAAACTGACAGTTCAGCGGCACAGCAAAGCCAGGCTTATTCCCTGCTCCACAATGCAAGAAGAAACCAAGAGCTGAGTGCGAGTTGCCTTGTAACAGAATCAGAGTCTGACATGGCAGAGGAGGAACTGGCTTAGCTGTGACTCAAGTCTTAAACTGAATAAAAGAACAATAAAGGACTCTCCTCTTTCCTGGAAGAGGGTATGTTTCAGTGTCTACAGGGGCTCCAAAAGGGCTGGACAAGGACTTTGGACAAGGGTCTTGAGTGACAGGACAAAGGGGCAAAAGCTTCCCACTTCCAGAGGGCAAGGTTGGATGGGATATTGGGAAGAAATTCTTCCCTTTGAGGGTGGTGAGGCACTGGCACAGGTGGCCCAGAGAAAAGTGTGGCTGCCCCATCCCTGCAAGTGTTCAAGGTCTGACTTGGAGCAACCTGGGCTAGTGGAAGGTGTCATTATTCTTGTGCCTGGCAGGGGTTGGAATGAAATGAGCATTAAGGTCCCTTCCAGCCCAAACCTTTCCATGGCTCTATGACCTCATGTCTCCATGGCTCTGTGACCCACTGTGTCCTGGGGGTGGGGTGGGGCCGTTGCCTGGCAACGGGAGCTGTGATGAAGAGGGGCACGTGCAGCGCAGGCCCCAGTCCTTCGAGGGCCGAGGAAGGAGGAAGGAGCCTTCTGGCGACTGACCCGCTTCCTCATCGCTTTGGCTGATCCGTTTGATCAGGCTACTTCTTCTATTGTTTTATCAACCCTTTTGCTCATTCCTTTTACCATCCCTATTGGTCTCCCCTTTTATCATCCCTATAGGTCACCCCTTTAAGAATCCCTCTAGGTCATCCCTTTTAACATCCCAATAAGTCATCCCTTTTAGAATCCCAATAGGTCATCCCTTTTAGAATCCCTATAGGTCAACCCTTTTAGAATCCCTATAAGGCATCCCTTTTAGAATCCCTCTAGGTCCTACATTTTAACATTCCAATAAGTAATCCCTTTTATAATCCCTATAGCTCATCCCTGTTACCATCCCTGTAGGTTTTACAGTTTATCATTCCTATAGGTTATAGAGTTTATCATCCCTATAGGTCTTCCCAGTTATCATCCCTATAGGTCATATGTTTTAAAATCCCTATAGATCATCCCTATAGGGCCTCCCTGTTATCATCCCTGTAGTACATACAGTATAAAACCCCCATTGATCATCCCTTGTATCATCCCTATAGGTCATACATTTTATAAACCCTATAGGTCATCCCTTTTATCATCCCTATAGGGCATCCCTTATATCATCCCTATAGGTCATATATTTTAAAATCTGTGTGGGTCGTTTTGTTTGCCATCACTTTTACGCATCCCTGGCAGATCCTGTCTGGCAAGGAAGGCTTTTATTTTTGCAGACATGGCGACTCCTTTGGACACTCTCAGCCTCTCCCAGCTGCTGGATCTCGCCATCGGGATGCCCCAGAATGGAGCCGTCCACTTTGCGGCCATGAGGAAACTGCTGCAGGCCGTGCTGGGGCACCTGGACGTGCAGTACCTGACGGCCCAGGAGCCGTGGACGGGCGAGCTGAGTGGCCCCTCACTGGCTGAGTTGGCCATGGGCATGAAGGACATGAAGCAGGAGATGGAATCCTGCAGGAAACTCATATCTGAGGTAGTGGCTCTTCCCAGAGCCCCTGGTACTCCCTCACCAGTCAGTCCCTCCCCACTTCCTCAGCAGTGCTTGACTCTGCCCTCACTGCCCAGGCAGTGCTTCGGCTGCTGGCAGAGCTTCCTGGCCCTTGGGATGGACTTCAGTGCTCTGGCACAGAGCCTGGCTCGGGCAGGCGGCACTGGGGCTCTCCCTGCTGACCCTGCCTGTGCCATGGGCTCCCCAGGGCAGGGCTGGGGGTCTCGGGGGACTTGCTGCCCTGGAGCTCACCTTTGACAAGCCTTTGGACTAAACTGTTTCTCAGGACCTTCGTGCAGAGATTGGTGCAATAAAGGCCGAACATTCCCGTGTGTCAGAGGACATCAAGAAGATCCAGGAGGCACAGGTCTTGTGCAGACCACAGTGGGGGTGAAGGTCATGTTCCCCAGGGACACTCCCCGGGGGCTCATCTCTGACACCCCTTTCTCCTAGGCCATGGCTGAATCCAAGCATCTCCAGGAGATTGACAAGTTAAAGGCTGCACAGTCCCGCATGGCAGAGGACATGAAGAAGGTCCAGGAGGAGCATGACCAGGTGAACTGCTGCCATCAGACACTTGTGGCTCTGA